TAATAATAATAATAATAATAATAAATAAAAACCGCTGTCATAGTAGACCCTTTCTTCCGGGCACCAACCGTGTGAAATACAATGTCCCTGACTTCATTTGCCAAAAGAAACTGGTCACAAGTTTAGTTATCAGATTCTAGTGAAGATTCCAGTGAAGGCTGTTGGCCTTCACTCATGCAATCGCACTCACAGCCTCTCTGAAGGCTCAGTAGAAATGTCCCCCATTTTGCAGGAAAAAAAAAAAAAAAAGAGAACATCAGAAGTTAAATAGGGCATTTTCACGTCTACAGTTTTGCGAAATTCTTCTTAAAGCTCTGAGAATTGGGTTCTGCCAAAGATACGGAGCATGAGCCCTGGAAATGCGAAATGAGCCATTCAAATCTATGCAGCTTATACCTAGACAGAGTGGATCTCGGGCTCCTGATGAGCTTGCCTGCAGTGTTAGGAACTGTAAGGTCACAACAATTGTGGAGCAGATGTGCATTGTAAAGTGTAAAGCTTCCAACGAACACTGCCCTGGAAGACAGAGCAAATCAGACACATAATCGTTGATAAGCTCAAGACTTTGACCTGGGCAGGCTGACCATCCTCATGGATTGTGGAAAGGGAGGTGGACTGGAAAGGGAGGTGGGCCAGCAAGGAAGATGGACTCCCATTCTCTTTGTCCCCAGCCCAGCAGCTGTCTCCTCAGCTCATTCTTGGAGCAGCATCAGCCAAAAGCTTTTTCCTGTGCACGCACCCTGAAGGTTTGGCATCCATGTAGGTTGGTTTTGGAGAGAAAGGGAGATTAATATTGCTGGATGAAAAAAAAAAAAAAAGCCAGAAGAGGAATGCTCCAAGCTAATGACAAAGAGCAAAGCCTTTCTGGAGCCCAGGGTACAGACATTGAGGGTTCTTGGGCAAAGCATCAAAGGCTTTTCCCCCTTGTTCTGGAAGGTAAGACTTGACAAGGGGCAGTGAGCAGACACACTGGGGTGAGTGGAGGAAAAGAAGTTCTGAGGAGAGTCCCCAAGCAGTGAGTTCCTGGAACACTGTGGATTCTGGTCCTAAAGGAGACCTAAAAATCCCCATATGCATCAAAGGTGACATTGAGAGGACAGAGTCTAGGAGCACTTCAGGGATTGAACTGCCCTAGGCTTGGAGTTGTCTCCCGCCTCACCAAGCCTCTGCAGAGGCCTGAAATCTCTTAGAGAAACAGTGCATGCTCCTCTCCTAGTCTTAAGTATAGGAGGGCTCAGCCCATACTGGCAAGCTATGACCCAATGTTTACATTTTAAATGGTTTAAATTTTCAAAAGACTGCTTTATGACATGTGAAACTATGTGACATTCCAAGTTCAGCATTCACAAAGAATTCTGTAACACAGCCACATTTACCCACTTGTTTGCATGTTGTCAAAAGCTACTTTCTTGCTACAACAACAGAGCACAGGGCTGGAGAGATGGCTCAGTGGTCTAAAGCACCTACTTGGAACAAGCTTGGCAAAGCACAGGGACCGCGGTTCGATCCCCAGCACCACATGCCAGCCAGCCGCGCCCCCTGGTGGGCTGAGCTGGCCACACACACACACACACACACACACACACACACAATAAATGTTAAAATAAAAAAAAAAAAAAAAAAACAGAGCACATCACACACAAAAACTGAATATATTTACTAGCTGGCCCTTTAGGGACATTTGCCCATTCTGGGTATCATTACTGAGCACACAAAATACAGTAAACATTTCAAAAAGCAGTCAGCCTCAGGATATTGTGGTTGAATCCCCAGATCCTCATGTCTTTCCAGACCTGTCCTTAAGGCATCCTGAAGCAGCCAAAAAAAAAAAAAAAAAATCCTTCGGAACTTTTAGGGCTGGGGAGATGGCTCAGTAGAATAAGCTCTTCCCTGGCAAGTGCAAGGGCCTGAGTTCAATCCCAGGTTCTGCAAAATCAATCAATCAATCAATCAATCATTTCAATTGTGAATCAATTCATGTATTCATGAAATATGTGGATGATGAAGGACTAGGAAAATGACAAGTAACAATGGGGCTTTTTTGTTTTTTGTTTATTTTGTTTTGTTTTGTTTTGTTTTCCTGGAAGTCCTTGAGAATATAATTGGTGGTCACTGAAGTAGTGATTTTCCTTAGGTTTCCTTCATGCGGGAAAGTTGATCAGAGCTTTCTTATTATTTTATTGTGGAGGGAAAAGCCAGGGCTGGTGCCAAGCCAGTTTGGTTCCCCGGACAGTGATGTAGGGCCTGAGGCTGCCAGTGATTGGGGAGGCAGAGTGGAAGCTAAGCCAAGTTGATCTCTGGATGGTAGCAGGCTGGAGGCGGGAAAGCTGGGCATGGTCCCAAACACCAGCCACTAGGTGGTGTGATGTCCCGGGCAAGGGCCCTCCCCGCCCTGCCAAGTCCTCCTGCTGCCCAGAGAACCTTCAACAGGGCCCTTCCCGGAAATAAGACTTCAAGGTTCTGCCTCTTATTGGAAAAGGTCAGGGCATCACATGGGGCATTCGTACCCATAAATCCCAGCTGTTCAGAAAGCTGAGGCAGGAGGATCATGAGTTTCAGTAGGGTCTGAGCAATTTTGTGACACCCTATGTTTATTTTTTTTCAAGTTTTAAAAAAAATATTTTATTTATTTGGTACAAGGTCTCACTATGTGGCTTAAACTCATAGTGATCCCCTGTCTCAGCTTCCCCAGCACTAACCCTGGTATTTAACCAATACTTTCTCAAAATGACCTCAGCCTGTTCCTTCAAAATAAGACATGGAAAGATTTTTGCCAATGATACAAGGAGCTTTCAAAAGAAAGTTAGAATTTTGAAAAACTTGTATCCGACACTGTAAGTTTGTCAGCATGTAAATATTTACAACTTTTTCTTTCTTTTTTTTTTTTTTTTTTTTTTTTGCAGAACCGGGGATTGAACTCAGGCCCTTGCGCTTGCCAGGCGAGTGCTTATTCTACTGAGCTATCTTGCTGGCCCCATTTACAACTTTTTCTGAGGACATATATGGTTAATATGAAGATATGAGATTTTAGGATGACTCGTAATGAAATGTATCAACACAGGAAGTCTACAGAACTTGATCAGTCTAATTTTTGTAAGCTATACATTAGCCCAATATCTTTTATTATGCAAGGTAGAAAGACTTGTAATGCAACAAAACATGAACTATTGAACAATGCTCTCTTTCAAGTTCTAATTGCAAGAAAACTTTAAGAAGCAAACATTCGTGTCATTTTAGTACAGTAATAAAGATGAATATTCACAATTATGACATTATTAAACATATTCCCAGGGCCAGGGAGATGGCTCAGTGGAATAAGTGCTTCCCTGACAAGTGCAAGGGCCTGAGTTCAATCCTCAGTTCCACCAAAACAAACAAACAAACAAACAAACAAAAAAAAAAAACCATATTCCTCTTACATAGGTGTGTGAGGCTGAATTTTTTTCATATACTTTGATCAAAATAACTGGGTTTTTTTGGTTTTGTTTTCAGAGTAAATCATCTTTATTTTAATTTTTTTAATAGATTGCAAATTGAAAATAAATCATTTGCACCCTATGTTTAATACTAAAAAATAAAAAGGCTGAGGATGTTGCTCAGTGATAGAGCAACTCTTGGATTCCACTGTCGGTACCAGAAAAAATCAAAAGGTCTTACAGTATGAGAGAGCAACTATGACACTAGTAAAGGACACTTCTCCGCCCGCACAAGCACTGAGCTGGCCACTATATAACCCTGAACCCATTTCACTCCTACAGCTGCCCAGTGAGACCAACACCATCCCCATCCCCATTTTACAGGCCAGGAAACAGAGGCTTGGCAAAGCCAAAGGATTTGCCTGAGGGCTACTGAATAACATTGCCAGAATGTGAACTGGGCAGCGTGGACTCCGTCCCTTACCAGAGCTAAGTCAGGGGTCATCTATGATGAGCTATATTACTAATCTGGTCATTAATGCTGATCCCTGAATGTCACCTCAGCAGTCCTGGTTCAAGAAGGGCTTGTGGGGGACCAGGCATCTACGTTGGCCAGCGCCCTGGGTGGCTCTGAAACAGTGGGCCAGGGTCTGAAATGCACTGCCTGAAGCCAGATCTCCAGGTGCTCAGGAAAAGCCGCCTTCTTCAGGGGACTAGAAATGAGATAAAGGAAGTAAAGCAGGTGCCAAGAGCTGCCTCTGGGCTTATCCAGCCCTCGGAGGCTTGCTCTAAGGAACAGTGGTCAAGGAGCAAGACCTAGAGGCAGTGTCTAAGTGAAGGCTTTTGGGGAGTTCTAGAGGGTGTGGGCAGTGTCTAAGGGACAGCCCTTGTGTCCCTGGTCTGCCCAGGAGATTGAGCAGCTAAGTGAACAGCCAAAGGGCCCTGGCTTTGCCCAGATCCTCTGAACATTGATTTATGGAGCAGGAACAAAGTAATTTCTGAAGCCCAAATGTCAGCAAGTTCATTTCAATTCAGACTCTCATTCCAGAGCCAGTGCTCTGTGTTAAGTACTAAAAGGGACACAGAGTGAATGAATGAGCACCTGTCATCCTAGCATTCAGGAGACTGAGGCAGGCTGACAGCCATGAGTTGGAGGCTGGCCTGAGCTACATAGTAAGTTCAAAGCCAACCTAAACTATATAGCAAGACCCTGTCTTTAAAAACATAAGTGAGGGCCAGGGAGATGGCTCAGTAGGATAAGCGTTTCTCTGGCAAGCGCAAGGGTCTGAGTTCAATCCCCGGTTCCACCAAAAAAAAAAAAAAAG